TGTGTACAGGACCTGCGTGCTGCAGTTCTTGAGCACGCGAGCCAGCGAGCCTGGCTGGAAGTCTGGTTTCCGAAGGCTGCAGAGCTCATCATACTTTTGGAAGCTGCCGGCCAGAAGGGACTTGTTGCTGAAGGCCAGAGATGCTGATTTGCCCTTTCCGTTTTCCAGAGGAGCGGCCTGTCTGCTTTTCTGCAGCTGGCTCAAAGATCCCCTGATGACACGAAGTGGGCGTCGTTGGATACAAGGGCCCGCAAGCTATCTAAGACATTACATGGTCAAAGCTTTCTGATAGTTGTTTTGCGAGCCCTTGCATCAACGTCTCTAAGCATTGATTATCAAACCACTTCCCAGTTTGCTCTCTGGACCAGAGCCCAGAGAGACAGACCAGAAAGCACAGATACAGTCGTTAAAATCCACCGGACGTTCAACAAAGTGAGTCCCTCTGCATAGTGACACCAGCTGCCTGCACGACATTCTGACAGCTCTGGCCTCTTCGGCATTTTGCCGACTGACTAGAGACAGGGCAACATTTTATGCTAGTGTATGCAAGTTTTGTGGCCGATCCAAATTTACTCTCATCAGCGAGCAATTTTCCCTGCAAGTATGTGACATGGATAGACATATTTTGAAACAGCGATCTCTAGGCGTGATACGTACGCCGTGAGGAACACCTTTACACCACATATCCCTACGCGTTGACGGTGGCAGTCATAACGCATTGTTGCTCTCACTTTCATTATTGTGGGCCATATTTGTTTGCTTACTACTGTGTGCACTACTTACTCGATTTTCCCCTGTTTATGAAATGACTGTCACTGCTAGAGCGTGTGGTGGTATGTCCCAGTAGCAATCTCGGACTCTTATCGCCATGCCTGCTTTGCGAGTGTGTGAGTCGAAATCAATTTTTTCAGGAAGGAATCAACATTCTCGCAGACGATGCGGTTGTCATCGCTGCAGCTCGGCGAATCATTCATTTAAAACTACTCCGGCTGTGCAAAGCATTACACTGATATTTTGTCCTCAGCCGGTCACTATGCCCAGGACAATGTGTTGAAACCTGGAGCTCCATATCACGTGACACTTCCGCACATTCGGCTTCAATGTTTCAGCAATCTGTCAAGTGCTCTCCTGCAAGGTTTGGAGAATTTCTACATTGCCACACTATGCGACTGTTTCGAGGCAGCATTTACGATGTGCTTAAAGGAACACAAGCGAGCGACCCATGTGTGAGTGGGCGAGGATATCATCGATTTGCGTGAATTCGGCTCGGCACCTGTAGAGGAGTGGGGAAAGGCTTTGCCCACGAGCTTTCATGACTAAGACGTTCAGGGCTTACTCCGCAACCGCACTGCGCCGAAGGACTGGATGACAGTCTCATGGGTCTCGCGCGGAAACAGCTATGGAAAGCTTCCTGTCGACGTGCGTGAACTGAATGAGCTGGCCCGGGAATCTGATAGGTTCAGGTCGGATGTGCAAGATTTTGGTTTGTTTCGGTGTTCTTGTCCGGTTGAGTGTCCCTGGTGCTTGGCGGCTTGGCAGGTTGAAAGCCATGGCAGCATCCATGAAAGATCTGGTCGGCGATCCTCTCGACGAGTTCGCCAAGAAGTTCACGGAAGAGTTCGTGAAGCTTGGCATTAGGCCCTCCATCTGCGTTTTTGGCAATCGAGCCGACTGCTCAGACAACCTCACACCCCTGCTTTCAGGACCAGCATGTACGTGCGAACCGACATCATTGATGGGTGCGCCGTGTCCAAACTGGTGCAGTTGGGGCCCGGTGAGACTCCTCCCTCCTGGGGTGGAGAGGCCCGAGTTTGGTCGTAGTTGCAACAGACTCCAGAAAATTTGGTCTGTGCGGAGGATCCCCGTGATGAGATTCAAGGTGGACAGTGGAAGGGCGTAGTCGGTGGAGTGCACTTCCGCGGAGAACGGCTGCAGAACGCCGAAAGACTGGGCTACCCTGGTACAGGTGGCGACTTCCACGGATCTCTGCCTAAATTACATCTTGGGTGTGTGTGTGTGTTTGAGTTTGTGTGTGTGGGGTGGGCACCTTGATTGCATTATAAGGGTCATGTTGACGCCTTTGTCTTTCGGAGTCATGTTTTGCCGCAGAGCAGGGGCAGCGCATGCCTGACAGTCACTGCCCAACCAAGACACTGTCAGTGCATGGTGGCATCTGGCCTGGTCAGCTAGAGGTTTGCATTTTTTTCGTGGTTAATTCAACGGCCAGACACATTCGTCTCTCAGCCTTACAACTTTAACAGATCGCAGAGTTTCACTTGCACACAGTTTCGGTTCCACGTTGCACTTGTCGAACAGTTATGGAAATGTGTGCGCAGTGGTATGCGTGGGTGCGTGGGTGGGCGGGGGGACGGGGGGGCGGGTGTGGGCGCCTGCGGACGCGTGCGCGGGCCCGTGTAGGCGTGCATGTAAGTTGGACAACCACACATGCATGTGTGATGACCGCTTCTTGTTTAGAGTGCGTCTGGCTGTTACATGCTTGGATATTGCAATCCTTGTACAAATACAAGCAACTAGAGGCAGATTGCATGAAAGAACCGGGGACCATACAACAAAGAAATGTGGTGCTGAGGCCAGAAATACGAATGGCCTCGAATACCTCCAGGAGGTTGACACTATGGTAAATCCTGTCCGAAAAAAGAAAAGAAATAGAATTTTGATACAACTATTCAAACGATTTCTATTAGAAAATTTATTTATATTGCTACTATTAAGATAAATGCTATTTATTATATTTATCGATTTACGAAATATATAAGATAGATATTTAGGACATTGATGGTCATTTCGAGAAGTAAGAATATTGGGAGATAGATTTTCTTGATTATAGAGGAAACTATGCGATATAATTATTGGCTTATTCTTAATTTTCTAAGTGAGATTCTGATGACAAAATTTTATTGAATAAGATGGAGGCCATATGGGTGTCTATATTTATATATGGATCGATATATATATATATTTATGTATTTCTCAAATCTTTCAATAATGATTTCTTATTACAATATTTTCTGACTCTCGATATATATTAGGATTCGAATGGATCTATATATTAGATATGAACATAGAGGCATTCTATTAGGGATATCTATTTTATATCGTTTCTAAGATTATTTATTTTATAATATCTTCTAGTTTAGAGCCCGGCCGACCCGTCTCTTATATGATCTTAAGATCTAGTAGGCGATTGAATGGCGCTCATCGGAAGAATGCTTTAATATTTGAAGATTATATATTTCGGTCGTCGATAGATTTTTGTAGAAAGATTAAGAATTAAATAAGATATTTTTAAAAAGAAAAGATTTATTTAGATTTCGGGAAAGATAGGTTGATTAAGAAGATTTTTTTTATATTTAATAGAGATTATGCTAATTATATATAGGTCTATATGAGATTCAATTTATTTCGGAAAAAAAATCTTTTATATCCGAAAATTCAATTAGAGAATATATTGAATCTTTCTTCCGATCTTTTAAGAAATTTATCGATGAGCTTTTCGAGATAGAATTCATTGATTGATTTGTTGTATATGATTATAAAAAATATGATGTCGATCTGTTGAATTATATTAATTATTGATCTTGGTTTCGGCTTGACGGAGAATAATAATGGGCGGACAAGCATTATTGAAAATTAATCTTAATGAGAATCGACGATTCTTCTCGATTCATCTCGCTAAGTACTTAAGGACGATCCATATTATCTAAGAAGACAGATAATGCCTCTTCAAAATTCAAGAAATAGACGAGATTCTTAAATGAGATATCTGCTTCAAAATTTATAGTCGATTATTATGAATTCTATATATGGCTATCTCCGGGATGATTCATCTCTCTCGAAAGATACGATGAAGATATATGGAGATTTTATATTACTAAATATTTTCTTCGATATTGAGAAAAATAAAGATCTGAGATTATTCGATAAATATCCAGATTATCCCGATTATTACGGAGATCTTCGTGGAATATATATTCAATATCCTTCCGAAGATATGATTCGATTGATATCTCTTCTATATGAAGAATGGAGAAATATCTTTAATGAAATATATCTGCAAGAAGACAAGATTAGAAAGATCGCATTTTGTCGTTTTAGATATATCATGAGATAGTAGAAGAAGATCTATGAAGATCATGATGATCAGAATCGCGAAACTCATGATCGTATTTGAGAGATATATAGATCTCCATTAGAAGAACGAGGCGATAGGAGGGACCTCGTACAATTGACGCTGGGCTAGGTGAATTTACCTCTCTCATAAAAATGTATTTTAATATGAGGTCAATCAAAATAGCCATTATTGTATGCCTGGATGCCAAGACACCATCTAGGCGACAAGTTGCCTGCGAAAATTACAAGCTATTTGGTATATAGATTGACCGTGACTTATCGTTTAGGGATCGTTTGGGTTATTTGCTTCGGGTCGGTAGGGCTTTGTTTTCTGAATTATTTCTGCTACTGAAGCACACGGACTTCTCCCCACCGGTTCTTACTACAACTGTCACGGAACGCATTGAACCAACTGTCTTATATGAAGCGGAAATTTTGCCACTCATCCCGGACAGCTATAAGTAGTTGGACGCGCTACAGGCTGATTGGGCGCGGACCATTCTTACGATTCAAATGGGTCGAGTCACCCATGGGCTACGAGGGGCTCTGGCTGTGGCACAAATTGGCTGGCTACAGCGCTTCAGCCCCAAGGCCCTTTCTAAGACTGCCATATACATGACCAAGATTCCTTTACTTCCTATGGACCATCCGGAGGTCAAGATACTTATGGAGGACAAGAACATACCAGATGGGTGGCATATAGCAAAGACTACGTTGGCCATTCATGGCTTTATTTATCCTTCTTTGATTGAACCTGAGATAGCACCACAGAGATATTGGAAGTAGCAAGATATGATAAGGCGGTCCGCCGCAATATGTTGTGTAGGTTCAAGCTGACTGTAGTCCAGCCCCGGGTGCTGACAAGGGGTGATCGTGAATTTGATATGGCTGCACAGAAAGATTTGCTTGGCTTTCAGTTCGTAGTTCAACATATTTTCCCGAATAGGGCTTGTTTGGCTTGGGAGGGAGCTGATGTATATCTTGTAGCGTCCGATTGGGAGTGCCTCTGGTGGTGGGCTGTGGTCCGAATGACGGCGTGCTGGCCGTGTCAATTATGTGGCGGCACTTCGTCAGTGGATCTGTTGGATAAATGCTCACTTTGTGGCGAAGTGCAAATAGATATTGTGCATTATCTTCATATCTGTCCAGGAACTGAGAGCCTCTTCAATTCGTGCCTAGGCAATTTCATGTCGAGACAAATTGATGCTCAAAATTTTTGCCGTCTTGTTCCATGCCAACGTGGGGCCGGTATTAGACTTGGCCCGGGCCAAATATGTGGCTGCAGCTGTTCGACTGGCCTTGAGCCTTACAGAGACTGCGTAGAGTCCAGTAAAATAAGTGTAGTTTCGACTCGCCGGGGTCTCCCTGGGAGTAGCGCGCTACCCACGTACGCTCCTCCTGAGCGTTGTTGCCGGGAGTGGGCTTGAGTTGAAGCTATGAAGCTATGAAGTTATAGGGCGAAATCGTGTCCTATCTAGATGAATGTCATTATTTAAGACATGTCACGAAATTGTACAGCTTTAAAAATGATAGCACATACGAGGATCCCAAGGAATCTATCCTTGTGATTCTTGCCTTTTTGAGACGAAGATGACGATCATTACGAAGATTTCGGATATATATTATGGCATCTCTATAGTTCTCCTAATATATTTTCTCCCGCCCGCCTCCTGATGGTGTGGGAAGCGAACTTTTATCTAATTAATTTATCTTCTCTCGTCTCTCTATGATATGAGATTTCGAAATCATTTCTCATCTAGGGGTATGTCGTCACTTTGGATACGCCGTTGTATAATTTCAAAAGTCACTCCACTCACGAAGATCCCAGGTTCGGGGCCCATCCCTGTCATTGTCAACTTTTTTAGGGCAAAAGAGACGATTCTCACGAGGATTTCGGATATATTTCATGTTGTACTCCTTAGTCCCCCCCCTAGTATGATTTCCCCGGCCTTCCGTCTGGAAGGAGGAGGGACGTTTACGTGATTTATTAAATCTCTCCTTCGTCCCTCTATGATAAGAAAAGGTGGATTGAGGATTTCAAACTTGGTTGTTAATTTCTTTCTCCCCTCCTGACGTGTGGCGTGATAGATCTTAGATTTAGGGATTATTTTGGGTTAGGCATATAGATATGAAAAGGTTTAAAATTGAAGATCAACAGCTATATACGACACAGATCGAAATCATGGCCCATCCAGATAAATATCGTCACTTTGGTCAGATCGTTGCCATAGTTTCAGAAGTCACAATATTCACGATGATCCTAGGATCGGCAGATCATCCCTGAGAGAATTGGCACTTTGGAGATAAAGATGACGATTCTCACGAAGATTATGGGCGTGATATATGATCTTCTGTTATCGCCCTAGCATCTTTGCCCCGGCCTCCCGTCTGGAGGGTAGGGATATTTACGTGGGTTGTTAAATCTCCCCCTCGTCCCTCTGTGGCGTGGATTGATTTGTAGGTTTCAGATTTAGTATTTTAGGTCCTTCCTTCTTTCCTGTGGCCGGACGGGGAATGATTGGGGCTGGGCTTGGGATTTGCGTCCGCGTTCCCTCCTTGTTTTTGTTGTTATTGTATGAGTGGAGGAATCATCGAGGATTTATAGATATGAAAAGAATTAAGTCGGAATCGTGGTCCATCCAAGAAGGAGCCATGCCACGAAGTTGTATAGCTTCAAAAATCCCAAGACTCACGAGGATCCCAGGTTCGGGGAGCCTATCTCTATGATTGCTGACATTTCTGAGATAAGAATGACGATACTCACGAAGATTTCATAGATATATCAAGGGAATGGGAGAATATTATGAGGAAGAATGATGGAGGTATCGATACGAAATATGAGAAGATGAATAAATTCCGGGCGATCCTTATAAAGAAGATACAAGATCTCGAGATACGAAAATCTGGGCGAGATATCATCCAATATATAGATAGACTCGTTCTGATCAGATAAGATCTTTTCGGATCCATGAGTTAGGATCGGCAAAGGACGTGCGATACAGATCTCCTAGGAATACTTTCGATTTCTCATATTGATATATATGATTCGTTCGAAGCTAGCAATCGTCGTAGCGATGGTCGATCGGACCACTTACGCGGATATTTCGTCGAAATTGAATTTGAGGAAGATCTCCGAACGATAAGATTTCAGATCCGAACTCTATCATCGGAGACGAGACTACTTATCATCGAGATAATCGCTATATTTGGGCAAGATTTCTTATCCGCCAGGAAGTTATTTGATAAGATATAAGAGATTGCTTTGAATCTATTCGATGCGGATGTTGCGACCCAGGAGCTTTCGGTCATACCTCTCGCGACTGTCCGACATACGATTCAGATTCTGCAGGTGCAAGAAGTCTCAAGATACATTTATATAAGAATTGAAAATACGATTCCAGAATTCTCATGAGAAGATCATATGGAATTCCGAGACAAGATCTTATAGATCTATGATATCCTGATCGATATGAAGAGATTCCCGAAGATAATCATTAAGAAGATATCTGGGTATTTCTTTGTCTACGATATAATTCTCTATTATGAATCTGCCGAAATCCTTTTCCGCTCAACTATAATCATAATGAAATCCGAGCTCTCCCGCCATGGATTTTGTCTCAATTTCAAAGACTGACCAATCGGAATCTATGGCGGACTTGAATACGCTCTTCAATAGAATTCTTATTTCCTTCATAGATCTGGCATATCTAGATATATAAACCTTTATATATATAGAAGACTTCTTGAAATATGAATATTAAATATGAATTATTCTATTCGGAATGGTCGGATCTTCTTTTTTTCTTGTGCTCCAAGATTTTCCGATTTTTATCCGATCAGAGAACAATATATATTTTATTCTCGCAAGCATTCGTCGAGATATCCTCTAATTATAAATATTTGTAGAATAATATTAATATCATGACGATCTAATAAGAAATTGAGATCTATCGATAATTTCTCATAATGAATCTCGATCAGATAAATAAAGATATCACGACCTCCTTCCTACGTCCATTCTATTCAAACGACCGCCCGGAATGAAGAAATGAATAAAGAAGATGAGAAGAAGATCGCCAAAGAGGACCGTCCAAAGAATTAAATTCAAATATGAGAATCAGATCCCGGAAAAAGAATAGAAATTGATCGTGGACGCGACCAAGAAGATGATGACGCTCAAAACTATCATTATTTCAATTCAATAATGACTTATTTATCCGGAGATATCTTGAGATTAAATATCTCTATCTGATCTGCACCGAATCATATATCATATTCGTCTGGCTCGACTGGCAATATAGAATTCGAACCGCCTATTGAATCCATACTAATCCAATCAATATCTCTCTCGAGATAAAAACCTTCAGCTAATTCATCAGCTCCCTGCTCACGGCTAATATAAAATTGCTGATCAGCGAGATGACGCTTTCTTCGTTGGGATTTAATGGCGAGCTCATTCGAATTCGAGACGCTTCTCACGAATGACCCCGAGCAATTATAATATTCATCAGATTTAGTCGTGAATAAGCTCCAAGATATTCAATTATTTCATGAGAAAATTTCCTACGATCAAGAAGCAAGCACATCTTCCACGATTCCGGCAACAAAGACATCTCCTACGTTATCTTGAATATTAGCTCTTGCGAGGGCGACGAGCTTTAGATAGAAGAGCGTCTCGGATCAGATATGATCGGTATTAGAAAGCTCTCTATCTGGAATATTTCCTTCTAGATTAATATGATCAAATTTGATAAGAAGAATTTCCGTCTATGATTATGCCTTGGACGGGAAGTCGAATCGTGATCGCGACCTTTTCGAATTAAAGAATAAATCGTATTCCGCTCGACGAATTCGAGCAGTTTCTCCAGTTCACTTTCTACCTCTTGAGATATATATAGAAGATCACGTCGAATTATTGACGAGGTCTCGGCTTTATATTCGAGAGCTCTATGGAGTTTCCTGGAGGGTCTAATCATCATCATCACTTGAAGAAATTCATGGAGCCGTCGCTGAGCAAGTCAAAATTATAGCCATAAGAGATCATGACGCTCGTGTTAGATCTCTTCTGATTCTATCTCATGATCATTGACGCCGAATTGGACGGAGATTCATTCTCGATATCTATCAGACTATTATGAAAGATTCCCAAGTCGTTCGATCTCGCCGGGGTTACTTGCTAGATAATTCGAAGAATATATTCAAATTTCTTATATTCCAATCGGATATCGAACTCCAGGCGATTATCCATAACGACCAATCGGGATGAATAGATTTCTTCTACGTCTGCCTCTGATGCGAACTTATCCAAGAAAGATATTGATTTTATAGATCAAATCATATCCGACAGATCGATTATTAGACAAATCATTTCTTCTTATCGCTGGCTACCTAATCGACGACCTCCTTCGGATTATCTCGACGTATATATTTTTTAATTCACGGACCTAGGAATTTAGAATAGAGATTCTGAGATTTGAGGTCGTGAAGAAGAACAAGATTCGCGGCGGAGGCAATATAATATCTAATAAGATCAATTAAGATAGTGATCATATAGAGAAATTCGAGCTCCCTTTCACGGATACCAATATGAAGACCATAAAATAATTCAGATCTCGAGTATCTTAATCGAACAGATGATTCTCGTATAAATGACGAATCCATCCCTAGGTCCGAATTCGCCATGGATCTTTCGAAGATCAAGATCGTCTTCCTGGAAATAGTCGGATATTCATTCGATCCTATATTAACGGTCTAAAGCATAAAAAAATTCGGCAAAAATTCATTCGATAATAACTACTATATTCTCAAGATCAGGCTCTTCATTATTATATTCAGCTTCTATAACGATACTCTTAACACGAGAAAATGAAAAAAAGAAGATTCGTTCTTGCTGCGAAAATTCATCAACAGAGCATTTTGATCAATAGAAAACCCAAATATATTCGGAACTTACGATCTTTAAAATCATCTGCGATCTCAATCAAAAAGATCTCGATTATCTTAGAATATGAAAAAATTTATCATAATAAATATATATATATTCATAAGCCAAAAAATAATTATTAGAATCAATTAGATCAGCCGATAGAAAAATTCAATCAAATGATTCGATAAAATTTAATAATATAATGTTTGCCAGAATATAAATAAGAGAATAAATTATAATAAAGTATCATAAAATTTTAATATTATTCAAATATCTTTCTATATTTTATTAAATATATATATATGTCTATATATATATATATTATCGTAGAAAAATCAAGAATTATGTATTCAGAATCAATAAATAGAAATATTTTCCGTGAAATCTATCAATATTTAGAATTATCGAGAAATTAGATGATTTCTCGCACTAATTCATAGATTTATTTCTAAATGCCAGAATAGGCCAATCCTAAATTGGGACGCCACTACATTTATCACATATCTTTTCAAATATATAATATCATTCATAACAACAGAAAGTTCCGAGGAATAACTGAAGCAATTTCCGAAACGTGTACAGAGAACTTGAATCTTCCATAGTCACATGTTGGCTGATGCAGTGAACTATAATGCACAAGGAACGACGAGGCTGTTAGCTCCTTGTAAGGCTTGCTGCCGCATTTTGAGCTCATGTTCACCGCGGCAGTCGCGGTCCACCCGTTGCAATCTCTCAGCACATCCCCCTCTACTCTATTTGAGTAAATTTAGATTGTGTAGGCAAGCTGCCTACAAGCAGTGCAAACAAATCGAAACAACGAGACTGTCTCGTTGAACTAATTATACTTTGTCTTGCGAATTTGGAGTCAGGCCCAACAGGCGAGAGAACCAGGACTCGACTGCACATGACGAAGCGTTGCACCTACCAATGCAGTTCCCCCTTGCCATTGTCGGCAAAGTGCTACAGGCAATGAATGCGCTCAAAGCTTTCGATGTCAAAAGCATCAGGTGGAAATTGTTCGCAGCGATGTGGGCCCTTACTCACAGCCGGGACTCGTGGCTGGCTTCCGAGGCATCTTCAAAGCCTCACAAATCGAGTAGCAGCTGCTAGTAGCAGATTTGCCGAAGCGCAGTGTATCTGTATTTGCCTCCTCCAGCAACTTCACCATGTCGGGTGAGCCCTCCGAAACGAAACAACAACATCAAATCAGCTGCATGACCATCATAGCCGGCTGGAACGAGAGACCGTCGGGAGACTTCAAGGACGACCGACCATGCATAAGTACACCCAGGAGCCATGCTAGCCAAAACTTGCCAGTCGCATGTTGATACACCCCCATGACGAAGGTACAGGCAGCAAATGACTTATGTGAACATGTCTTAAAAAGGTTCCATGGTCCATCGGCCTCTTGCAGGATGTGCAGAATGACGTGACTTAGGCCCTGCTCGCCTGCCCATTGAAGCCACTACTTCAGGATGTCTTCCGCACAGTGGCCAAAGAAACTATGCCATACTGCCTGGAGCATGCCGCAGCTGAGAGCCCAGCGAATGTGTATCTTCTCCACCCAGCGCTTTACACGATGCATCCAGCCTCGCATCCGGCGTGCGAGCTCGACGCAGACTGAAGTGGCCCGTCGCTCTTCTAGATTCTAGAGCCGTGGACGTTGTATGGCGTGTCATGGATTGGAGGTGGCTTCTGATCTAAGAGCCACGCCTTGATGATTTTGCAGGACCAAGCCTGGCAATCTGGCAAGCTTTAGATGGGGCAGATTCCCCCTGGCTCCGCCTTGCTCCTTCTGAAATTTATCCAGGGATGATGAAAGCCAACGGTCCATCTCCTGCCAATTCACATCACAGCATGAAAGAGCAGTTTCTGCACCTAGATGGACAGGCGATGAGTGCTCTGATGTGTACATCCAGCTTGGGAGAATGTTCGCTGAGTCGACATCAAACACCACAACAAAGGGGATCGAAGCATGCTGAGCGGATCCGTTGTTCGGGTGAACTAACTTCTGTACACATCGCAACATCAACCTCTGCGCTTGTGCATTCAGTAGCAACGACCAACGCGCACAAGCAGAATCAAAGGGTGCGTCGGATGACGGCTCCAAGAGTCTTACATCGCCTTAGCGCTCGATGTCCCCAACGGCGTCTTCACGTGCGGGGAGTTTCGCCGAGTTCAAGTATGCGATGAGTCTTACATCACCTTAATCTCCTTTGCTTGGCCTTTCTTCTAAAGCCAAAACCTCTTCGTGCAGGCGTGCACAATGCCTTGGAGATCCACACTGTTACGTGCTTTCCGTACACCCAGTCAGCTGCGCCTGCGCAGGTGCACGAGTTCCGAAAACCGCATCAAAAGCCGCTGCCTGCGGCTCTATCTCCAAGTCAAAGGTCTGAAGTGGGACGGCTATACCCTTCCTTTAGGCCATTGACTTGCTGCAGATCGGTAGGACTCCCCCCGGCCCTGCTGCGGATCACTGTTGAGCTTGCGAACTGTCTATCTGCACAACACGGACACACACACACACACGCACGCGCACTCACGCGTACATATACATATATATATAAACTCATGTATGTGTTTATATATACATATATATATGTGCATACATATATATATATATGTATGTATGTATGTATGTATGTATGTATGTACATCTACATATACGTATGTATGTATGTATGTATGTCTGTATGTATGTATACCTGCTATCCCCCACAGTTATCTACCTTGTCTTGTCTTTCCAGGATATGCGAGGGAAATACGAATTAAACATGCATGAAACGACTATGCCAAAGCTCATGATCAAGTTTTAATGCGAACCCGCGTGTGTCGGCTCTGGCTTTGTCTGTGAGGATTGTATTCATCCAGGCAAGGCGTAATATATTCAACATAATGAAACAGAACTTAAACAAAGCCAGGCTGATTGCAGGCTCGCTGCTCCCCGAACCAATAGGGGTTTAGAGTTGAGGGCTACCTGTAAGCGAGGTTGTCAGGTTACGATCAGGCTTCCGGCTAATGCTCTGGGGCTATGACAGCCATTCATGATAGTCCTGCGGTTGAGTTTCAAGGTTAACATTGCGGGAATTTTTTGTTTTTGGACAGGGGCTATCGAGGGTAATAGCAGGGTCGCCATGGGACCAATATCGGGGCCAAAGCTTAGGTTAGCGTTAGGGTTGACGCTGTTTAGAAAGAGGAATCGCATAAATTTCGCATTGATTCTTAAGCCTAATTACTGGGTCTTGATTTCTAGTCTGCGTGCAACCATCGGAGTTGTCAGTGGAGTGGATATGGAGGCCGATGCTGAGCTTAGGGAGTCAACGTCGGCAGTAGTGAATAATGCCGTGACGGTGAACATGGGCATGAGTGGTGAATAGTCGTGAAGACGACGGTTAATGTGGGCATTAGGAAACGCTCATGTTTGGTCTGCTAGCAGTACTTCAGGTTTGAAGAAGAAGTGTTGAGGCCATATACAGATTGCCACTCAGGCCACATTGGGCTTGCTATTGAAGGTGGCATGCGGTTCAATACTGAGGTGAATCGTAGGGTCACAACAGAACAGATGTTGGGTTTGCTGCTTAGATTCATTTCTCAGTCAGATCTGAGGGGCCTCAACAGGGCCTAACGTCAGTAAGCAAGACACGGGAAACAACGCTGCATGCTGGAATTGCTCTTCGTGGATTTGATTTGCATGCAACTCTAGAAAGGTCGGCTGTCATGCTGGATGGCAAGTGCATTGGAGTTTGGTCCCAAGTACCTAACTCCAATCCCGAGGATTGAACTTCCAGAGTCCAAGGTTCAAGATTCCAGGACAAGGTTTCCCCAGGATCGTGGAATCCGGGAGTATTGAAGTTCAATCCTCGGGATTCCTCGGGACTGCTCTCAGTGCCCTAAACACACGCGTCAGTGCCGCGTGCTGGTAGTCTATCATCTGCTGTATTGTTTTAGTACTGCACACTACTAACACACAGACATGATAGAGTCATACAGAGTTGTCTCTTAATAACTTAATGAGGTTGTGACGGCAACAATACAAACGACAACAACGACAGTAGCAATACTGTTCCTAAAACCTGAGGTAACCTTGCCCCCCGTTCCTAATGGGCGCTAATTAAAACCCACCGAGAAGGTAGATAACTGCGGGGGTGGGGTGGTACTGTGTGTATATATATATATAGAGTTCATATGTGTATCGCCCTGTCTCGCTTCACCGTGCCTCCTTTGACCTAGGACTAACTGGCTTCTGTGGTTTCGCAAGTTCGAAGTGGTGAACCTGCCGCTCTATGCAAAATGGCATGCGCGACGATCAGCCTTTCTTAGCTGACTTGGTTCGTGGCTGGGGTGCAGACCCTCTCTACAATACGGCGGCCGTGTCTGTAGTACATGGGTGTTATCTGTTAATTTCTCCCACCCGCCCAGCTGACTAAGTCGCACCGCAGGGAACTCGTCTGAGGAAAGAGCACAACTACCTGTTAATAGAATCTAGGGCTGCTGTCTTTGCGAAGTGGAAAGATTGGGCTCCACTCATGCTGACGGTCCATTCTGTCCAAATCCCCGAAATAGCTGGAGAAATTCCAATCTTTCCAGTAGCCAGTAGCAGCTCAACGGTCCCAGCTATTGCGTTGCAGAAAGGGGCTTGCAAGCGCAAAGGCTGAGTTTGTTAACGGCAGCAACAGATCAACCCACGGCGCCTGGCGAGTAGCTGTCACCCAGTCCTGTAGTTCTGAATGCATCTGTTGCATCCTGAGCGATTGAGACCGAGGCTTGCAAGGACAAGACTTTCGCATGTCATTCAGCCTGTTCCGAGTTCCGTGCTCAGTTCGGCTCACTTGTGTCGACATCTCTCTTTGAAGCCAGGTGGCAACCTGGAGATGTCCCATGCAGCGTGTGCACGCTTGGAAGTGTGTGGCAATAATTCAACACCCTGCCTCGCTGGTGCTGCTCTGACTTCGCTGCATAGACTCCTTGAAATCCAACAGATGCTATTCGGCAAGCTTGCGCCAAATTTCTGACGCTTGCTCACTTTATGGCTCTAAGACAGAGGGGGGACTTTCGACAATGCAGTCGAGCAGCGACTTCCTCTTGAAGCTGATTGGTGAATCCGGCAACGCTCTGCCTGGAATGCAGCCATGGGCGCTTTCAAGCAACTTTTGCGCTCCCATCGGCCTCAAGCCATCCAGCTCAGACCCCGCATACTCTGCTTTGTCCTGACGTAACGATGATTTCCCTTTTGAAACGAGCGTCGAATTTGATTGGACTCCTCGAGCATGCCAACCCGCTGCATCACGCACTTGATGTCGGCATCCCAAACGAAGGCTTGGTCCTCTGGGCTCACTCGAAACAGTCGGACGACAGTTTTTCTCACTGTGTGAATGGCGCTCCAGTAGGCTGGTGTTCTGCTGCAGCAGGTTCTCCAGTATCCCATCATACCTGCAGCCATCGGCTGACATGTCGTTCACAGATGTTACCAGTAGAGGCGCTGGGTTAAGTTATGATGCCGTTCCCGCCTGGAGTTCTGTGCGTCTTGCACCTCCTGGCGGTCCATCACAGCTGCTTGCACCTGACATCTGTGATAGATTTCGCGACGCTTGCTGGAATGTCTTAGGCTCGGACCTTAGACCGCTCTTGAGAGTCCGTCTTCAGAGATTCTATCTCCAGACCTGGGTTAAGGATGACATGACCATGGAGGAAGCATGTCAAGCTTGCAAAGCCGTCCTTTTTTGGCTCCCGCGTGGCAACATCCGCAGACACTGCATGGCAGGTGTCAAGAGTATCGAGGCAACGATGCTCCAACCCTCAAACTAAGGAAACTATCCGAGGGCTCACAGCGTGAAACACAGTACAGCAGCACTTCTACTCAGGCCAAAGATGCAAGTCTTTACACAGTGGCCACCAAAGGAAGCAACAAAGTGGGCCCCATGTCGTTGTCACAACTCCGATCGTGCTGCCAGAGGTGGAACCGACCTGCCCAAAAACAAAGTCGGTTCTCTCGGATGCCACAGTACTCCACTCATCCGTCAGGGCACAGACGAATCGGTGTCCTGATAGTATGAGTAGAGACTTGAACGCACGTCAGATCCCAGTGCAGCGGACTCACTTCCAGATAAACGGCTCCCATACTGCAGTGTCACCATACTCCACTTTCCAGAACATGAGCCAGCACAAAGTCGTAGGTCTATGCAGAGACCCAAGCACATTCAGGCTCCAGGCTGTCTGTCGCAAGGAAATCCCAGGCAAATGCAGCGACAAAAGCATGACAAGGTTCCAGGTTCGATGGTGGCTGTTCGACAGTGGCTGTGGCTCACGGTGGCGACAGCCCCTGTGCACAACAGTAACTTTGTGAAAGAAACCCAGCCCCATGTAAGGCCATCACCACATACCTGTTGTTTTTTCAAGTGTAGAGCCTCATTGCTGTGTCATGGTACACACCACCCAATCAGAGCTTCGGTTGTTCATTTCTGAGAGAGCTGCGGTCCCAGCCTGTCAGAGCTTCAGTTGTTGGCGACAGCCGGTGTCGTCCAGAGACAGCGAGCTCGGTCGGGTCGTGCGGGGTCCAGGTGCAACGGCTTTGTGCTTCCGGATCCCAGCGGGATTACGACCACAGTCAAGCCTTGTGCTATGCGGCTCACCAAGATCCGTAATGCTAGGCCAGCAACCAGTTCTGTCCACTTCGTGGTCATGGTATCCAGCGGAGCAGGCAAAACAGTATCATCACTCCCGCATGCGTGTACTGAATCCATGGCTCTCGGCACTGTCGAGGGTTCGTGGTTACTAGGGGGGGTGACAAGGGTTTTGCACCACAAGGGGGAAAGTCGTAGGATCTCGGCACAGGCAGGAGAAGGGAGCACAAGAAGGGAACGAGCAGTGCAGGACAGATGCCAGACAGGCAGTGCAGGGCAAGAGAAAGGCAGTGCAGGCAGTGCAAAGGAAAGGACAAGGGAAGGCAGTGCAAGGTACAGTGCAAAGGAGGGACAAGGAAAAGGAAGGCAGGCAGTGCAGGGCGAGACACAGTCACACAGTCAAACAGACACAGGTTCAGCCCAGACAGACAAGACTGCATGTAGGTTCAGCCCAAATAGACAAGACTGCATGTTTTTGTTTGTTTTTTTTTGGGGGGGGGGCATGGCGTGTATTACACACGTTCAAAGGCCAAGGTGCAGCCAAGCCAAGCAACTCTTGTTGTCTTATGTGCAGCCAGGCGTCACTCCGAAGCATAAGTGCAGCCCAGGCGCCGAGGGACAAAGGTGCATAACAACAGTAGCATCCCAAAGGCACTCAATGCAGCCGGGTGACAAACTGTTAGAACCCAAACTGGACTACTGCGATTGTGAGTCGTGTACATGCACTACTTCTATCACATCGTGTCGCGAATCCTCGAGAGACCCAAGCTGAAAAAACTCATGCAAGGACAGTTGTTTGAGGCGAGGGGGGTCTCCGGGGATGTTACCATGCAGTGTCCTGTAGCACTCGTGAGTCGTAGGCACGTTGAACCCCAGCCCGTAAAGCCTAGACTTCACCACCTCAGAAAGGGTGGAGGTATGGATTGTGCAGAAAGCGACCAGAATCAAGCGCTCCTGTGTACGGCTAGAATCATGTACATGGCCTGCATGCAGGAGTCTCCTAGCGTCAAAAACAAAAGGCATCCTTAGTGACTGGATTCTACCGACAACTGGCTTGTTGAGGTGTTGTTTGGTAACTGTGCCCAATACATCCTGAACCCAGAGGCCATCAAGTTCCCAGCTAGGCGTGTTGAAGGCTTGCACCAAAGATGGTAAAGGGGCGTTCCGGGTGTCCCTATGAGGTTTTTCGACAGCTCCTCGCCTAAGAACAAAGGTAGTAAACCTGTGGGCCGGAGCAACCCAGTGCACGTATCTATTCACTACGAAGTTGAAGTACGGAAGGTCGATAGACAAGGTTAGCAACGAATCGCGACACCTAGGACTAGCGCCTCCTACCACATAAGTACAGGCCTGGTCTCCACGTTTGAGCATAGACCTGGGAATCATGTTGAACATGCGTTCGATGTCCAGCTGGCACGGGGGGCGATCGAGTTTAAGAACTCGTATGGCCTCCCGTTCAATGGGTTCCAACCTGATATCCTCAGTCATGCCAAAGTGTGGCCACAAGGGTGCCGGGTGTCGGGGTTGAGGGACCTGAGTCACTGTGCTGACGCAAGAAGGACTGGGTTCGGGCGTGGTCCGTTCTGAGGCTGAGGCTTCATTCGTAGTGGGGGCCGACACTGGGAGCAGTGGGGAGCATAAGTCGAGGGGTTGAGAGGGAGCAGTACGCAAGCAAGAAAAGGTTGCCATGATCCCAAGACAGTTGCCCTCGATCTCTCGTCTGCTGAGCCTTAAGGCCACAAGTAGCATACGCTTCCTTTGCAGTCACTGGCACAGACGAGGCTACGCATGGAGCATCAACTGTGGCATGCATTCCCAGTAGCGGTCTGTTTATTTTTTTGGCAAGGGCTGCTGCAGTCCGGCAAGGTCAGGCAGTGCGGCAAGGAAAGTACAGGCAGTGCAAAGAGGGCAAGGGCAGGCAGGCAGTGCAGGCGCGGTGAGCACTGAAATAAAACAGCGAAAAGGAAAACTGCAACCAAGCAAAGAAGTGCTCATCGCATGCACTCTGCAGAAAGCCCTCTTGATTCTGTCATGATCTACCAGGCTCTGGACATCAGCAGTGCCTTGTCATGAACGGTCTGACGTCAACTGTCCACGATGTCAGGAACAACCCAACTTCTAGAATCCGCTACGCTGGTTCAGGACCTGGGTCAAAGCGTCGAGGTTGGTGACGAGTACCGGCGGTGCAGTGCTGGACTGGGCCTGAGTAGTCTGCACCATTGTCTGCTGTCCAGAGAAGTCCTCCACGATCGTAGGGGTGTGCGTGGGTGCCGGTGGCACTCGATGGCGACCAAAGGTAGTGGCTTGCGCAAATTGAGGAGGCTGTTGAGGAGCGGTTGGCATAGGGCTCCGAGTGGCAAGCGTAGCCAGCACCTTTTCCAGGCCTCCCTGGACATCGTTCAGCACCCTCAGGCGCATTCCCATGCTCTCGGAGTGTCTCTCAAGGGCCGTGCCAACATCGTTCACCACATCCAACATCCCAGTGAGCATGGACTCGATCTTGTGGGTGCGGTCCTTCAACTCGGTTTCCTGGCCAGTGACCCAAAGTAAGGTCTTGGCCGTGTCCTCGCATACATTCCTGAGTTCGGTTTCCCACGGGGAGGGGTCTCCCTTTCCCAAAAGGAGATTCGTCCGTTCGGCCATCTCAGCTGCACGCGTGGCCACCTTTTGTGTGTCCCTTATAATTGGAGAGTGGTTCTTTATCTCGGCCAGCACCGCGCTGCGGTGCGACAAAGACTCCTTGGACACCTCTTCAACTCGGTCCTTGATGCGAACGATGAGGGCGTGGTCTTCTCTCATGTAGCCGGCTTGGGTTTCCGTTTTTGCTGCTATCGCTTCCACCTTGTTGGTGAGGTTGTCGACCTTGTTGAGGGTCGTCGTGGTGACAGCGCCCTGGAGGTCCTGCAGCTGTGCCATTACTGCTGCATGGAAGTCCTTCATCTCGTCCTCAAGGGCCTGTGTTGACACCGTGGAGGTAGTAGAAGCCAGAGCAGCACCATCAATCCAGTCTTGCAGGATCTTCAGGTTCTTGTCACCCTGAACCTGAGTCCATTGTGCGAGCACGGGACGAAGGCTGTCCCACAGTTCCTCGGCGAGGGTGGTGGCATTCAGGCTCTCACGAGGGGCATCCGCGAGGTTTTTGATAGACAGCTGAATTGCACCCACCTGCGACGCCAGGGTCTCCGTGGTCTTCTCCAAGCGGGACGTGAGGGAATGCTGCATCTCCTCGGTGGCATTGCTAATCTCCAGAAGGAGACTCTTTTTTGTCTGCTCGTTGAGGTCCTGCAGCAGGGCGGCCAAGTGTTCACGAACTGCGCCTTGCATCGTCGTGACAAGGCTTCTGAGGAAGCTTGTCAAGGCTCCCCATCCAAAGAGCACCAGCACACTCACACCGATCACAGCAGTCAGAAGCATGGTCCCCGAAGGAATCACGGCCACTGGACGTGCTGAGTCCATGAAGGCCTGCACGTGCTCACGAACATCACGAGGGCCAGTCATCTGTTCCATGGCTCTCGAGGGCGCGCGGAAAGCGAAAACAAATCAGAAGCTTGGGCGTCGAAAGCTTCCAGTATGTGGATTGCTTCATCACCGTATGTATGTGTCAGCAAAGGAGAAAAAGCTCACACCAAAATTGTATGCAACACTGAATTAAAGTCCCGTCCTGCCCCCCCCCTTCCCTTGCATGTGCAACATAGGAAATGGGAAGCTGGTTCAGCACGACAACAGAAAAGAGAGAGGTCCCCTTGGAGACAATACAGAGAACTACCGACGTGGTCTCTGAAGAGACTGCGAAGGAAACTACCTGCGCTCATAGCCAAGGGACAAAAACTGGCGAATCTAGCTGGTATGTGAGGGCAGCATTTGCTCTGTCCAAGGTGCAGAACGTTTTGCGGAGATGCCTCAGTTGGGTGGCTGCCTTAGCGAATGTGTCCGCGATCTCATTGAGGAGGATCCCTTTATGCGCCCTGACGTGTCTGCACTCCACGGAGAGGCACAGTTCACTCCAGAGGTCAATGATCTCATTAGTGACCGAGGCATGA